GGCTCCTGTGGTACTAAGTCACTGTCAGTTTCCCCACTGTTAGAGCAATCTGGACGGCTGGATGCAGGAACTGGTGATGTGAAAAATCAGGGGGTGCTCTTTCTCCAGCATAACAATGTGTAATGTCAGAGCTAGGACTTCTAGGCCCCCGTACCTCTGTACCCCCAGAAACCTCAGGTTTCTGCTCCTGAACAGGCCCATGCAAAGCCTCTTATCTGTCCTTTCCCAAGATGCAAAGACCCCAGAACTCTTTGGACACTTGTGTTCAGAGTGGCACATTGCGACCTGTTCCCAACAAACACAATCATCTGCAGGACAAAGACATGGTAATTGTGTAAACAAAGCAGGGTATAATCATTAGTATGGGATGGAAAGGATGAATTTAGTTATTTCTGTCCACCTAGTTCCCAGAAATTTTGTCCTGTTGTAGTTTGTTTCCAGAACATTTTGGTGGTAACCCTCTCTGTACCTTAAATCCAGATGTTGAGAAAAGAGGATAACTTGGGATAAATAAAATGAGAGCTGACTCCCAGTGTGGTTGGGAGGAGATCTGAAAGATCAGAAATGGAGAAGTAGCTGTTAGTGGTAGAGTCCAAGGCCTGAGTGTTAGGGAGCAGACTTCTGGTGATATGGTTTCTAACACAGCTATTGACACCAAGAAATCTCTATGTTGTCTATTTTCCTTGCATTTCAAGGAACTTCACACAATTAGCACTGTATTTACAAAGTTGTTGGCGCTTCTCTCTTTTTGTCTGGGGAAACAAGTCTGCTTGCAACTGTGGGTGCTGACATTCTTCAGTTGACGAATATTGTGAAAATGAGATGAATGTCAGTTTTTCAACCACAGGCAAAATACTTGTTTTCCAGCCATTTTTTGCACTTTGCTGAGACTTCTTTTTCCTTGTAGCTGGTGCAGACTAGTGCAGCTATTGCAGGACCACCATGAAGGTATTTGGAATATCTTAATTGCTGGTGTTCTGCTATAGTTAACCTCAAATAGGCTCTATAGACTCGAAGCCAATGGAAGTGTGGGTTGTACCAGAGCACTGATAACACCTCACATCAATGCCATGCTGTTTAGTGTACAGTGGTGGGGATGTTGTGTGGTGGCACGTTGTGTAGCCACCTCTTTTTAAGATGGACGTGTCGCTGTGTTCTGTGAGAAAAGCTCCCTGGGAATGCCTGAAGGACCTCAGGATCAGCTCTGTCCCCAGATGGCCCAGGGCTGTCACAGCTACAAGATACCAATGATGAATGCAAGCAGAGGGTCCTTCAGCTGTGAGACCTTGTCACCCAGCCCACAGGGAGCTTAGATGTCAGCCCAGGAGCTGTGGATGCAGGAACTGCAGGGTCCCATCGCTCACTTCCCAGCAGCTGGTCCTCCCATCCTATAAATACTTCAAGGGTGGGTGTCAGGAGGATGTGGCCAGTCTTTTTTCAGTGGTGCCCAGTGACAGGACAAGAGGAAACGGGCACAAACTGGAACAGAGGAAGTTCCATCTAAGCATGAGGAGGAACTTCTTTTGTTTGAGGGTGGCAGAGACCTGGCAGAGGCTGCCCAGAGAGGTGGTGGAGTCTCCTTCTCTGGAGACATTCCAAACCCACCTGGACACGTTCCTGTGCAACCCACTCTGGGTGACCCTGCTCTGGCAGGGGGCTGGACTAGATGATCTCCAGAGGACCCTTCCAACTCATGCACACCTTGTTCCTCTCCTGGAGTGTTGCTAGACTTCTTGGAAGCTTGCTAACAATGCAGGTCACTTTTTCCTCTTGTTAACAGGAGGAAGAACCCCGTCAAGAAGAGCTGCTGCTCCCCCAGAGCCCAGACCAGCTGGGCAAAGAAGAAGCAGAAAGCTGGGGGATGGACCGTGTTGGGGGCAACAACCTGAGCGGCAACTCTTCCCAGAATGGGGTCTGCCCCATCTTGCCTAGGTCGGGTGTACCGGGGTCTCAGGTGCCCAAGAACATCCCGCCTCACTCTGACGTGCGCTTCTAGCCAAGAGCCCAGTGCTCCCAGTTTGGCTCCTGTGGTACTAAGTCACTGTCAGTTTCCCCACTGTTAGAGCAATCTGGACGGCTGGATGCAGGAACTGGTGATGTGAAAAATCAGGGGGTGCTCTTTCTCCAGCATAACGATGTGTAATGTCAGAGCTAGAACTTCTAGGCCCCCATACCTCTGTACCCCCAGAAACCTCAGGTTTCTGCTCCTGAACAGGCCCACGCAAAACCTTTTATCTGTCCTTTCCCAAGATGCAAAGACCCCAGAACTCTTTGGACACTTGGGTCCAGAGTGGCACATTGCAACCTGTTCCCAACAAACACAATCTCTGCAGGACAAAGATATGGTAATTGTGTAAACAAAGCAGGGTATAATCATTAGTGTGGGATGGAAAGGATAAATTTAGTTATTTCTGTCCACCTAGTTCCCAGAAATGTTGTCCTGTTGTAGTTTGTTTCCAGAACATTTTGGTGGTAACCCTCTCTGTACCTTAGATCCAGGCGTTGAGAAAAGAGGATAAGTTGGGATAAATAAAATGAGAGCTGACTCCCAGTGTGGTCGGGAGGAGATCTGAAATATCAGAAATGGAGAAGTAGCTGTTACTGGTAGAGTCCAAGGCCTGAGTGTTAGGGAGCAGACTTCTGGTGATATGGTTTCTAACACAGCTGTTGACACCAAGAAATCTCTTTATGTTGTCTATTTTCACACTCCTTAAATTGCATTTCAAGGAACTTCGCAGAATTAGCACTGTATTTACAAAGTTGTTGGCGCTTCTCTCTTTTTGTCTGGGGAAACAAGTCTGCTTGCAACTGTGGGTGCTGACATTCTTCAGTTGACGAATATTGTGAAAATGAGATGAATGTCAGTTTTTCAACCACAGGCAAAATACTTGTTTTCCAGCCATTTTTTGCACTTTGCTGAGACTTCTTTTTCCTTGTAGCTGGTGCAGACTAGTGCAGCTATTGCAGGACCACCATGAAGGTATTTGGAATATCTTAATTGCTGGTGTTCTGCTATAGTTAACCTCAAATAGGCTCTATAGACTCGAAGCCAATGGAAGTGTGGGTTGTACCAGAGCACTGATAACACCTCACATCAATGCCATGCTGTTTAGTGTACAGTGGTGGGGATGTTGTGTGGTGGCACGTTGTGTAGCCACCTCTTTTTAAGATGGACGTGTCGCTGTGTTCTGTGAGAAAAGCTCCCTGGGAATGCCTGAAGGACCTCAGGATCAGCTCTGTCCCCAGATGGCCCAGGGCTGTCACAGCTACGAGATACCAATGATGAATGCAAGCAGAGGGTCCTTCAGCTGTGAGACCTTGTCACCCAGCCCACAGGGAGCTTAGATGTCAGCCCAGGAGCTGTGGATGCAGGAACTGCAGGGTCCCATCGCTCACTTCCCAGCAGCTGGTCCTCCCATTGGGCAAGAGTTACCTGTGAGACATCACCACAGTTCTTGGACTCCTGGTTCCACTGAATTCAGACCCAAGCAAGAGCTTCTTGCCTCCAGCTCAACTCAGAACAATGATGTTGCTTGTTCCCTCCTACTCTCAGCATTGGAACTACTGTCTTACTCAGAAGAAAACGGCCTACGTCAGGAGAAATTCCTGAAATAAGCCCTTTTATTTGCAAATTTTAATTGAACAGATAATCCATATGCCAAATTGGAATTGAACAGAGGAGCTATGTGCCCTCTAATGGGTTTGAAGAGTGCACACAGCCTCTTGGGGTTAATGAATTGGGTGAGTTTTGAGTTTTGAATCTGAGTTTTGAAAAGCACAGACGAAGGCTTTTCCTTAAATTAATTTCCAAGCTCCTGTTTTAGATCCTGGCTCAATAGCTGACTATGGCTACTGAAGCCTAATCGGAAAAATCAAAAATTTGTTCTTTTGAAGTCTCTGAAGGGGTGCCTGCCTTTTCCAGAGGCTCAGAACACCGGGTGAGGTCCTGAGTCTGCCTTGCTGCATAGATATCATACTTGGGATGCTGATCTGTGAAGAGCTAAGCTTAGCAGCATGGAATAGATCCAAGCAGCAACTGTCTGCTTCAGGGGGTTGACCCTGTGCTGGTAGAGCCAGTGGAAGATATATTGCTGGCTGGGGCTCAGGTCCTCAACATAGCAACGGCTGCTGTGGGGACAACAGGAGCCTGAAATAGGGTCCTGCTAGGAAAACGAAGGCGAGAGTGATTAACTGTGAAGCCTGGCTTTCTAAAGCCTTAGGCTTCGTTGTTCTGCTCAACAGAAAAGGCAGCACAAGACCTCCCTCTTGGCACTGCCCTACATTTCCATTCCCTTCCCGAGCTGTGCCAAGCATCTGCAGGACCTGCCCCAGGGTTAACTTGCCCCCGAGTCAGGGGATGCTGCAGCCTCTGTCATTTTGCACCAGGAGACAACCTCCACTGCTCCCTTCTGCACAGAGACCACCGTAAATGCCACCTTAATGCCAGGGAAGGCAGGTGAGGCAAGAGAACGATGGTGTGACAGCCGGACTCAGCTCCACGGGACAGTGGCCATCAGCTTCAGGCAACCAGAGCTCAAGCACTGTGAGTTTTACCTACAGGAGGAGGTAAATGCTTGTGTTTGTGCTGCAGAGGTTGTTCTGGGTTTGTGCTGGCCTGTTCACGAGCCCCTGAGCCAGCTCTGGCTGGGATCAGAGAAGAACTGGAGGCTGCAATGGTCTCCAGTCCATCAACATCAAGTCCACTAACTCCATGGGTCCATCAACAGCTTGGTCCAGGAGCTTCTTTCCCCTTTTCAGGCAGAAAGATCACTCCCTTCACCCTGTGCTGGGATTTTGGTGGTGCCAACGCTGCTGAGTGTAAAATGGGTTCTGTCACTGGTATGTGTCTCTTCCTGCGTTTCCATTCCCTTCCTGAGCTGTGCCAAGCATCTGCAGGACCAGCCCCAGGGTTAACTTGCCCCGAGTCAGGGGATGCTGCAGCCTCTGTCGTTTTGCACCAGGAGGCAACCTCCACTGCTCCCTTCTGCACAGAGACCACCGTAAATGCCACCTTAATGCCAGGGAAGGCAGGTGAGGCAAGAGAACGATGGTGTGACAGCCGGACTCAGCTCCACGGGACAGTGGCCATCAGCTTCAGGCAACCAGAGCTCAAGCACTGTGAGTTTTACCTACAGGAGGAGGTAAATGCTTGTGTTTGTGCTGCAGAGGTTGTCCTGGGTTTGTGCTGCCCTGTTCACAAGCCCCTGAGCCAGCTCTGGCTGGGATCAGAGAAGAACTGGAGGCTGCAATGGTCTCCAGTCCATCAACATCAAGTCCACTAACTCCATGGGTCCATCAACAGCTTGGTCCAGGAGCTTCTTTCCCCTTTTCAGGCAGAAAGATCACTCCCTTCACCCTGTGCTGGGATTTTGGTGGTGCCAACGCTGCTGAGTGTAAAATGGGTTCTGTCACTGGTATGTGTCTCTTCCTGCATTAATGTCTTCTCTCTCTTGTACATCTCACTGCAACTGCGGCTTGCCTGCTCCTTGTCAACATGCTGTCACGTATATGATGTGTCCTAGATTAGGGCAAAGCAATTAATTACTTGTCCCCAGCAATTGCTTGTGCGTAATTGTTAATTGTGTCCTCCAGCTGGTTGAGAAATAACATAAATAGCACTGAATGGTAAGTTCATCCAGCTTCTCTTTTCACATGTGTGTCGTCAGCCCTCCTACCAAGAGCTGGTGTTATATAGGTGATATGTGACTCACGGGGAAAGTAAAGTATTATTGTTTTCCTCGACAGCGGGTGAATGGCTGTGTTTTGTTCCAAAGTGCCTTCCCATCTGCAGTGTCACCCCAGAGCCCTCCCAAACACAGCCCAGCTTCTGGAGTTACCTTACCAACAGCGTTGGGTTTACCAGCAGATGTCAGTCAGCACCTCTCACAGCCCCGCAGCCCCTTCTCTGCTCCCTTTTTGAAGGAGGTCAGTGGCAAATCTCCCATTTGAGAGAAAACTGAGATTTGGGAAAATCACTTTCTCGGTGGCAAAACATCAGAAGCAAATCCAGGGTTTCCAAAACACGCTTTGTTGATACTATGTCCTTCCCCCCTGAATACTCGTTGCAAGCTTTGACCATCTCTGGCAGGTTACAGCCTCTCCACCCTTTGAAACAGGGTTAGTACAGGTTTTGCTTGGGTTTTTTGGACTTTGAAAAGTCCTTAACAAGCGGTGGTATAGTCCTAGAGCTGCTGCTGCCTGGTCAGCCTCCAGCACAGGAGATAGTTGGCTGGAGACCACCTTGCCCCTGCCTGTTTTACAAACACATGGTGGCAGGAGGCACTTAGGAAAGAAAAGAGCAACATCAGGGAACAATTATCAGTATTCATGGAGGTTATCAGTAAACTGGGAGAAGGGAGGGCATCATCTGATGAGCCAGCTTAAGTACCATGCCATCCTTTTGCTGGTCACAAAAGCCCTAATTCAGGGCCTCCAAGCCTGGAAGCAAGGAGCCCAGCGCCAGGAGAGCAGAAGAAGCAGGAGGAATTCCAGAGGGTGCCAGGTCCAGCCCCTTTCCTAGGCTCCAAGGCCAAGGGATGTATTAAAAAAGAGTACAGCAGGTTTTGGAGAGAGGTGGCAGAAATCAAGGGTTGAGGAACTGACTAGGAAGACTTGCTTGTGGCCTGGTTTCAGAGGTGGTAAATGCCAGGCGTAGCTGGTGACCAGCCAGCCATGCTGCACACATGCCAGGCACCCAAGCGGGTGGCAGAAGGGTGCCAGCCCCCGGGGTGAGGCCAGCAAAGGCCGAGCCCTGGCCCAGGAGAGCTGAAGGAGGAATGTGAACGCTCAGCTGACAAAACAAGGCGGGTGTTCAGTGACGGGTCTCCAGCCTGAGGTCACGCTGGGCTTTGCTGAGACGTGTCACTGAGAGTCACCAAGAGAGACAGTGAGGCTGCCAGAGACAGGGCGATACAGCCCAGAATTATAGAAAGGTTTGGGTTGGAAGGGAACTTAAAGATCACCCAGTTCCAACCCTCTGCCCTGGGCAGGGACACCTCCCACCAGACCAGGTTGCTCCAAGCCCCATCCAGCCTGGCCTTGAACCCCTCCAGGGATGGGGCAGCCACAGCTTCTCTGGGAAACCTGTTCCAGGGTCTCACCACCCTCACAGGAAAGAATTTCTTCCTGGTGTCTCAACCGAATCTCCCCACATCCAGTTTAAAACTGCTACCCCTTGTCCTATGGCTCCCCTCCCTGATCAAGAGTCCCTCCCCATCTCTCCTGGAGCCCCTTTAGGGACTGGAAGGGGCTCTAAGCTCTCACCCGAAGCATTCTCTTCTCCAGGCTGAACACCCCCAACTCTCTCAGCCCGTCCTCGTAGGAGAGGTGTTCCAGTCCTCTGAGTGTTTCATGGCCCTTGAAGGAAAAGGAAGATCTTGGGACATCCAACCCACCTCTAGACTTTCCAAGAGCAAGGTGGAGAGGAAGTGCACAGTAGAGCCCTGGAAAAGTCTCCTTGATCACTTTCTCTGCATGATGGACATGCTTTATTAAAGGCCTTTCCTGCTCTGATTTCACCAGCCTTCTCGGGTTTGGCTGGATTTATGGGAGAGGGCTGGGAGGTCTTTCACGAAGGAAAACCTCTGGAGCTAAGTTGCATGCTTACCTGTTTCTTGCACTAGGGAGAACGAAGGCCTTCTACAGGAATGGCCCATCCTGGTAAACAGACCTGTAGGCTTTGATGGAAGGGAGGGGTCTGTGGGCCACGCTCTGGCCACAGAACCAAGGTATGGAGGTCTTTAGATCTGGTGGGAGACATGAGTGGCCTTGGTAAGGCTGTTGCTAAGGAGCTGCTGAAAGTAGAGCAGAAGAGATGGGTGAATTGGACAGAGATCGGTGCAGAGGTGGGCAATGCAAGCACCAGGAGCAGGGGAAAAGTTGCAGCAAAGCTTGATGGTTCCTTCACCTTAAAACAGAACCAAAGGCACTCACTTCTGTTCTCTTCCCTGCGTACTCATGAGCACCAAGAGATGCGTCCAAATGGCCTGTTGGGGATTTGGGCACCAAGGTCCTGTTTAGGTGCTGTGGTCAGAGGTCCTTGTGATGACACAGAACGAGGCACGCCAGTTATGGAGTTCTCACGGTCTTCTGCATTCTTGGCCTGGTGATCTCGGCTTGTTTTTGAACATGCTTTTTTTTTTTTAAGGAAATGAGAGAGTTCAGTTTCTTATCCTGTCCCTCCTCTGTGAGTCATTAAGATTTACTTATTGTCCTTTCTTTTGCAGTCTGAGAGCCTGGAGGAGCTCACCCTACATGTGCTGACACCCTGGTGAGCTGCTAAGTACAGTGCCATCAACACCTGCCACTGCTGGCCTTCCACACCCAGGCTTTCATTTACCTCCATTCAGACCTACCTTAGCATTTCTGTCACGATTGTCTACTCCCCCTGCCTCTCCCAAATTACTGCTAACTGTCTCCTGCCCTAGGACACCCAGCTGCCCTTTAGTGGTTCCTGAGTAGCCCTGGACAACCTCTGTCCCTCATCTCCACTCACACAGCAGTTTTCAGGCTAGGAGAGAAAAATTAGGTCTGGAGAGCAGAGCAGCACTGTCAAAAGAACTTGAGACCCCTTGGCCAAGACAAATACCAGGCAGTGAAAAGGAGCAGCTGAGTATTGAGGTGCACTTGAGACCTGTAGAAGATAACCAGTTGGGCCAGCTGGAAGGTGGGTACAAAGAGCTTGGGCATAAGTAGCATAGGAGCGTGGAGCTTTTTGCTGTGGTGTTGCTGGGTGAGCTGCGTGCCCAAGTTCCTCCTTATGAGAGAGTTCAGTTTCTTATCCTGTCCCTCCTCTGTGAGTCATTAAGATTTACTTATTGTCCTTTCTTTTGCAGTCTGAGAGCCTGGAGGAGCTCACCCTACATGTGTTGACACCCTGGTGAGCTGCTAAGTACAGTGCCATCAACACCTGCCACTGCTGGCCTTCCACACCCAGGCTTTCATTTACCTCCATTCAGACCTACCTTAGCATTTCTGTCACGATTGTCTACTCCCCCTGCCTCTCCCAAATTACTGCTGTCTGCTGCCCTAGGACACCCAGCTGCCCTCCTGAGTAGCCCTGGACAACCTCTGTCCCTCATCTGCACTCACACAGCAGTTTTCAGTCTAGGAGAGAAAAATTAGGTCTGGAGAGCAGAGCAGCACTGTCAAAAGAACTTGAGACCCCTTGGCCAAGACAAATACCAGGCAGTGAAAAGGAGCAGCTGAGTATTGAGGTGCACTTGAGACCTGTAGAAGATAACCAGTTGGGCCAGCTGGAAGGTGGGTACAAAGAGCTTGGGCATAAGTAGCATAGGAGCGTGGAGCTTTTTGCTGTGGTGTTGCTGGGTGAGCTGCACGCCCAAGTTCCTCCTTCTTTTTGTTCTCCCCTTCATCTGTGTTACTCCTTCATCCCCAGGTCAAACACCTAGCCTGGCCTACTGCTTTGGGTTCTCTTGGGTAACACTCCCCACCTGGTGATTGCCCATCATTTTTGCCTCAGTTTCCCTGTTGGCGAGTGTGATTTTCCTTCCGTTTGCACCACAGCAGGGGACAGCTGAGATTTCACCTGGTGATTGCCCATCTTTTTGCCTCAGTTTCCCTTCTGGCGAGTGTGATTTTCCTGCTGTTTGCACCACAGCAGGGGACAGCTGAGATTTCTGAGCCTTTTTCCTCCACTCTGCCCTGTGTTGGAAGGACGTGGCATGGTAGGTCTCTGTCAAGGTCGTACCAGCACCACTAGGCATCAAGGAAGTCACCAAGGCAGGCGGAAGTTATGGATGAGACAAGAGCTAGTTTCTTATCTCTCCTTCTCCAGAGCACAAGCTGTTTGCTGTCACGCTATCCCATGTTCTGCTGTTGTGGGGTGTCCCCTCGGGGAAGGACACTCTGTGGCTCTGGGTGACTGCAAACAAGTCTGAATCCTTTTGGGGGCTGCTAAAAAAAAAAATTCCTAATAGCAGCAGCCTGGGCCTTGGGAGTAGATAAACGTTAAACAGTTTTTAGGAATGGCTGGTGGGGCAGCCTGGACTTTGCTCCTGAGGAAGGAGGTGAAATATCTACGTAACGTTGTGTATGTCAACATTCGTGTCTAGGGAGGGGGGCTGACCTCTGGAGAGCTGAGTTGGGACAGATAAAACACACTTTAATCCTGTTAACCTCC